AAAATGGGTTTTCTGCAGTATGACTAAGTTGTATTCCCATTAGTCAGAAAAAAAGGAAGAAAAGTTTTTTAGATTATTTATTTTTACAAAAACGGAGAAAAGCCTTAAATTGAAATGTACAACATTTTTCAACAAAAGATGGTGGCTCTACACACATATTTTTCTCGCTCCATTTAGAATTCATTTCCATACTTGTCACCTCTCTGCTTTTCTGTAAACACGACCTGCAGTTTGACAAGTTTTCGTCACATGACTGTTGGCCGCAGCTAAATCACTAATGGCTTCACTGTTGCACGGTGGATATTTTAGGGGTGTTTTTACAGAAACTGGTTCGTGCAAATGGCTTACTTTTGGCAAATTTTTAAATGAGAAGTGAAGAATAAATTATTTTTGATGAAAAACCACAATATTAAGCTCAGATTTGTCTTTCTGATGGAACCCTACGCCACACATAATTAGCTCGTGCGCTGTTGGAAAGGTGAAAACCTGTTGATTCTTTCTGTTTTTACAGTTTCTGGCTCTGATAATTAGTGTCATTTTGTAGATTTTTTGTTTTTAAAGCTACCGTGTCTTTAAAACTCACTGGTAGGTGTTTGGAATTCAGATGGTTAAAAGGAAACACAGTTAGACATGTTTTTAAAAACCCGAGGTTAGACAAATGTGGAAAAAAAAAAAGAAAGAAAGCAGGCACACAAATTATGACCTAAACTGTGCTTTTCAAACTTCCATCAACAACTTCGGAGCTCATGGACAGATGTATTATGGTTGTGCTAAACTTTTGGTTTAACCTCCAGGTAATGTGGTGAACTATCTGTCTGACTGTCTGAGTGCTTTCTTAATTGTTGCACCATCACATAGCTGCCAGCTCTCTCAATGAATTACTTTGGTTAGTATTTTCACAGAAACAGGAAAAAAAAAAAGCTCAAGCAAGACCAATGCTGTAATAAACCAGAATTATCCTTTAAATTTAAATGTGCAGTAATGTGATCCCAAGTCTGCAATTATCAGTTGTGCTTGACTGGCTTAAAAGGTGACTCCACTAATCAAAACGGTGGGCTGCCTCGATCTGTTCTGTAATCCTGCATGCCCAGCCATACATCATAGCTCTACAGCTCAGTTGAGCTCCAGTCCTGGTGTAAAGGTCAGTAGCTCCAGGCTGTCCGTCTGTCTGCCTGCATCTCCCTCTTTTTCTCTGCTCCTTGAATGCCTAAATAAGAAAGGTTAGTAGACTCAGCTGCTCTTGCTTGAAAGGTCATGTAGGAGAGGAGACAGGAAGCACCCAGGATACTCTTATATTCTTATCAGTACTATTTGTCCGGTAGTTTGCCAAAGGTATGTTGTGTCTGAACATGCCTGTGTGTCCTGGGTATGTATCTCCTGGCTGCATATTGTTCCAGGGGTAAGTGCTTGTTTAGCTGCTGTACTTTATAATGGGGGAAGCATACTGAGCGATCCTTTAAAGAATTAAGATTCAGCTCATCGAGGACAGGAGCTGCATGGAGGGCAAAGTGTGACAATGACCTCTGGTGTGGCGTTGTGTGATTGGGGGACGCCAATCAGCTGCAACCCCGCTGGGAAAGTGTGATGGATAAGAATCTATATCGCAAGTGGCGAGAACTTTTGTCTTTATCCAATTCCAGCTAAATAAAGCAAAGCTAATTTTATTATGTCATTACTTCATAATGTCATGCAGATGAGAGCATTGTTGACCTGGCTTAGCCTTGGCATGTCAGTCAAGGTGGAGGGCAATTAAACTGACCCCACTCTCCATCAGCGATAGAGCACAATTGAGCAAAAGAAAGGAGGTAGGATCAAGATAAACTTTAAAGACTGGGGAGCCCCGGGAGACAGAGGGAATATGAAAATGAGAGACAAAGAAAGTGGAAATGTCACCCTTCAGGGATCAACTAGAGGAGGAAACGTGACAGAGAGAGGGAAGAATAGAGAGGAGGGAATTGAGCGGAATGGATTTGAACTGGAAAAGACAGAGCAAGAAAACTGAAAGTAGGAGAAAGAGTGGAGTTGAAGTGAGGGAAGGACCTAAATTTAGACATGGAAATCAGGAGAGAACAGCTGCCTCCTTCCCTCAGGAGATACATTTAAATCAGGTCTGGGTGGCCAGAGGGGAGGATGGAAGAACCTACTCTACTGGCCAATTAGGCGCACAGAATACTGCACTGTTCTAATATAACCATCATTGTGGCCCCTTTGGCCCTCACAGTCCCATCGGATGTGTAGCACCAGACACTGACGCAGGGCTTAGACTGAGGGATCCCCGGACTATTGTACATTTGTGTAGGCACAAGCGCCACAGGAGAGGTAGAAGAGAGGTAGAGTAGAGGTAGAGGAGAGGAGAGGAATTCCAAAAGGAACCTCGATAGTTAGATTTTTTTTGTCTGTTCAAATAAATACACTTGTGGCAGAAATGGATGGAAGAAATATTGGTTGAAACCAGTGTAGTACAGTATCTACTACATGTACAGTGTATTTTGACACATATTGTAGATGTTCTAATGTCATTGTACTGTAAGGTTCTACCCAGTATCCACAAAATTACATTCCTATACAACTAAACTGCATTCTCAGTTATGTTTTTTTTTGGGGGGGGACGGAACTCCAGTCAGAATATGTTTGTTTCTGACGTATCACAAATACGTTTCTGATCTAATTGACGTTTGTTTTACTGCTTCGGTGTCGCTCCCTTACAGCCAACCAATCATGTGTTAAATAGAGCGGGACTAGTCACCCTAGTAACCCAGAAAATGGAGAAGATGCTTCAAACATGTAGTGAAAGGGTCATATTTCACCCCTAACCGTGGTATTTTTTCCTCACCATAACCATGTAATTTTGGTGCCAACTTGTAACATGGAAAATTGTGTGATTTTTTTTTAAACTGATCGCCTTTTGCACTATTATGTTCATTGAAAAAATAATAAGTACACTTTGGTTTCTTTTGAGAATGCAGTTTAGTTGTATAAGCACGTATTTTTTTGTAGAGACTGGGTTGAAAGTAGAAATCTGGGAACATAAAGCGTGTTTTGGAAGCACCCATTCTCCCCTGAAGACATGTGTCGCGCCTCGCCATTAAATCACTCAAATCTTCTGTTTCCTTGGGCGTCAAAAAGCAGATCATTTAGAAAACAAACTAGTCAATTACGTTGTCAGATATGAGAGAAGAGTTGACAACACAACAGGCAGGCATATCCCCCGAGTGTCTCCGGCTTCAGTGACATTTTGTAATGCCACATCCACTGCAGTAATGAACCGGAATTATATTGTGCAAAATCTCGCCATTCGGCGTGGCAGTTAACCATTAACTCCTCTTTGTGGCCACCACAAAAGAAATAAAAGGTATCACACTGGGCTGTACGTCGCCCCACTGTGTGAGTGAGAAAAATGAGGAAAAGTAAGTGATTTAAAGAGAAGAAGTAATAAAGAGAGCGAGGGCAGGCGCAGGAGAACGGTAAATCGTTGGCAGATCATGCCTCATGCAAAACTTTCATGAATAAAACATATTCCTAGCCTCCCATAGCTCAGATCCATTTTTCCTCCGTTTCCCTCCTCTTCCCTCTCTATCTCTCACACGCATGATTAACCTCGGGAGGCCTTAATCAACACTGGAAATGACCCGTGCTCCTTGACTTACCTCTCTCTGCCTCGCCTTCCCTCTTTCACCTCATCTTCTCTCCTCTCAGCACGTCCTTCACCGCGGGTTTCTCCGAGATGGGCTTTGCCTCACCTGCTAACTCAGTAGACAAACAACTATCTGAGCGTTTGTTTATCTCACCTGCACAATAATTAACTGCTATCAGGAAAATACAAAAGATGCAGATGATGGCTATGGATATTTACTATAAGGAAATCTATTGGCAGTGATTTTTAAAATATTTTTCAAATACAAAAAAATGGACATTTCAAAACTCCAAATGTTGAAGTTTTTTTTTTCTTTCTTTCTTTATATATGTTTTTTCCTTTTCTTCAGTTTCTCCTGATCCTTTCCTGGGGGGATGGTGGTTTAAGACGTGAGAGTTAGCTGGGGATAAATAATCTTTCTTACCTAAGCCTTCATTCACACAGTCTTTAAAATCTGTCCTCTGGGGGATGGGGACACGGATAGATTTATGGTTATTATTATTTACTTGCTTACTTGCTCCCTCAGCCTCCCTCACACACACACACACACACACACACACAGAAACACACTAAAGCATACATGCACACACACATGTTGCATAAAAGCACACACACACAACAGTGTGAGCTATCCAGAGTTCTGGAAAACTGGCAGGCAGCTATTGACAAAGCAGTTGCAAAAGCGACCTGTCCGCGGTGCTGAAAAGTAGCTCTGCTCAGCTTGGAGGTCACACAGAATTATATAACTCAGTGCATCTGTCTGTTTCTCCCACTGGATGCCGGCATTATGCACATCAACATCCACACATGCACACCCAGTCTGCGGAGAACAGTTTTTAATTGGTCTTCCCTGTGTAGCTAAGGTGTCAGAGTTGGTACCGCAGGCTAAATGCCTCCTGTGTGTTCGATGTTAGGGTCTAATTTAGCACACAGTAGTGACTGGCCAGCCTGCCTGAACATTTGCTTTGTAATTAGGGTGTTGAGCCTCTTTTTTTTTTTTTTTTTCCAAAGGCATAAACCAGATTTCTTGTCTTTGGCCTCCAGTGTGAGGAGCTGATTTGCTCCTCCAGTGACAGAAAAGTAGTTTCTTTCTTTTTATGAACATCTTTATAAACCAACCGAGTAAAAAATCAAATCGCGTCACTTTCCCGTCTGCCTGCGTAGTTTTTATTTTATGTGAACGTCATTATGCCGAATTGAAATTTATCAAGCGAATTTAATTACCAAAGCAACCTTACAAATCAAGCAATCAAAAATGTGCCATCTGTCTCACTCTGTGTACCTCTGTGTCTTTTCCCTCCCTCTCTCTCTCTCTCTCTCTTTCTCCCTCCTGATGCATCCTCATCTCTTCTTCCTCTTCTGTGTCATGCTTGCAGGTGTCAGCGGCCAGTATCCTCTGGTTCAGAATGTGACTGTGACGGAGGGTGGGACGGCGAACCTGACCTGCCGTGTGGAGTATAATGACAACACCTCCCTCCAGTGGTCAAACCCGGCACAGCAGACCCTGTTTTTTGGGGACAAGAAAGGTGAGTCGGAGAGTGACAGACACCAGCATCTACATGATGGATGCAGTCTTTTTTTTTAAGTGTACCTTGTGTAAGGTTTCCAACAGAAATGCACAAAACAAGACTTTTTTTTTTTTTTTTTTAGGTTGGAGAGCAACCTAAAAAAAATAAAAAAATAAAAAAATAAATCCCCTCCCTATCCCTATGTGTTTGTCACTTGAATAAGCTGCTGTCTTTGTTGTGTCATAGCATCTGTCCCACATTTCATGTGTTACTGTTTTCCTGTCGGTGCTCTGTTTTCACAGCAAGTGCATTCACAGTACAGAGAAGCAGATACACACATGCCCAGGCCTGTTTTTATAGCATCTTTAAAACCTTTCCTCTGGGGATGCATAGTATATGGCTATTTTCTTTTTTTTTCTGTCGTTTTTCCATGTTATCCTCCAACCTTACGCACACCCACACTCACAGACAAAAACACTCAGTCACGCAAACATATTCCCGCTGTGAAGTAGCACTTGATGGTCAAAACAAACATTACCAGCTCTGTTTCTGACTTGTTTTGCCTGGTGCAGGGTAACCGGTGGTGAGCATTCCGTTCCATGAACAAATTTTCTGCTTGTGCATTTTACTTCATTGTCAGAAATATTTATTGTGTATATTTTTTTTTTAAAAAGTAGAAATGGGTACGTGTAATTTGGTTGGCTTTTAATCGAGGGCACAAGGACTAGGCTAGTAGGCTACCATAGTTAGACAGAGTAGCTTCGCTGTCAAAGATTAACATTCCCTAGCATCTGAAATACAAGCGTGATCAGAGTAAACCGAGATGCCGAGGAAAACAAAAGAAAAGTGTTGGATCTGTGAGCTCTGTTTCTTTTTTTTTTTTAATTTTCTGTTGGCTCTCAATCTGAATTAAAAGATCACACTCAGAAGTTTAAAACTGTTGTTCAGATCAAGTTAGAACATCAGAGCATCCCACACACCCTCAAAGTCAGCAATTCACCCTGCTGTGCAAGTGCCCTTCACTGCAGTCCTGTAGTGCTTAGCTCGTACTGCCTCTAGCACATACGACGGAGTACATTATGAACTAAATTTCTGCTGAAAGAACAAGCCCAATCACCCGAGCCTTACATGGTGCACTATAATGGCCTTGTGTATAATTGATTGTGTGAGAGCATTAAACTGATTACAGATATTCAAAGACCCCATTTTCACATTTTGTTGCATAGCCATTGGCAACCGGCAGTACCTTGCTGTGCACCTACTTAGCTATTTGACGGTGTGTTATTTCCCACATCCAGTTGGTTACGGACCAAAATGAAGACCACATAATGCCGTAGCACGCTGGAACATTTTCAGCATAACTACAGTGTAATTTTGTAGCACAAAAAAAAAAAAAGCATTGGCAACAAAGGTTATGTTTGTTATGAGAATTGCTTGAATGGTGGACCCTGACAGGCAAAAACAATACAGACTTCGCTGGAAAGTGGAGATTTTTTTTCCCGTTCAGCACCATAAACACACCTAATGGGCAAAATTTCTCTAATGTTTCTGGTCAAAATTAGTCCACTCGTTAAAATCTGTTTACTCAAACTGTTTGTTCAAATGTGTGGATTTTGGTTCATTTAACTACATCACATAAACTAGCATTACATTTTTTTAGCTTCATTCCTGTCTTCTTTAAACTATTAGCATGCAGTATAGTATACAAGCTGAATAAACAGTACTTTGTAATGTAGGACTTTAACAACCTCTTCAACCTCACAGCCCACTTCTAGAGATAAAACAGCCCAAGAATTATGTAATCTGCAGAAAATATTTTGTATAATAAACGGTTTATATACTGGAGATAGTGCCACAGAGAAATCCCTTCCATTAAACAATTGCAAACCCTTGTTATCTTTGCACACATTCGCAGATATACGCACACACACACACGTGCACACTAACAAGCACACATGCACAAGTCGTGGGTGTGGCAGGAAGCCACCAAGGTTTTAATGGCTAATAAGTACAAAGGCTTTATTCCTGACCTTTCACACCATCTTCAGTAAAGTCCCCATAAAGAGGATTCATGGGTGTTATTTTGTTGGTTCATGCCTGCTGAAATGATTGTGCCCCGCGCGTCTCTCAGCTGTATTAGTCGAGTGTAATAGAGTATGAATCACACTCTCTTGTAAGTGTCTGGATTAAGCACATATGGGATTTACACAGTTGTCTTCCATTATCCTGCTGCCCACTGGGCTTCCTTGTCCATTTGTGTGGCGATGCACCACGTGTGTGAATCTGTTTGTGTCCGTCTGCGCCTGTGTTTGTATGTATTTTCTTGCATATGGTAAGTGAAACGTATGCAAGTGCAAAGCGTTTCCATTTTCGGTCAGCCATGTTTTCACTCACCTGCCTTTTTTCGGAAAAGAGCAGCAGTAAAAAAAAAAAAAAAAGCTGCATTGAACGTCAAATTCGACAGTTGATGTTCTCTGCAGGTTATTCCATATCACACCAGGGGTCGGGCTTGGGGGTCTATTTTATGGCATTTCCAGTGCAGGGCTGTGAGATTGGAAATGAAAAACCAGCCAAGGACTCTCTTATTATCAGGAAAGCAAAGGGATACTACTGAGGCCACTCCGGTCTGTGTGTTGCTGTTTTGGGTTGGCCGCGTGTGTTTGTGTGCTTTGGGAGTTGTCTTGCTGAACGTGGCAAATTCAGATGCACATGCTGATGGGAGCGCTGAGATGGTGAGTGTTTCCAAAGTGCCACTGGCAGTGTGAGAAAGGAAAGATGTCTCAGCTGCAAACGCCTTTGAGCACAGTAGGTTTCAGATTAATTTTCCCTGCTGCCTGTTGGGAAGAAGAAGATGGGGATTAGGGCAAGCACACAGTTGCTCAAAAGTGCAATCCTAACTCACCAACTTTTTGCATAATTTGCTCTGTTGCTGTTTGTTTGAAAAAAAAAAAAACATGTTTTTTTTTTTTTCCTGCACAAAATCATACAAGTAATTTGTATAAAATTCAACATCTCTCTTGTTTGATATAGAAAATATCAGCTAATCAAAAAATCCTTTGCAGTTTGATTAAAAATAACATGTAGACTTTTCACTTATATTGAATAGATTATTACAGACTTCTGTGTATGTGGGCATGTGATCAAAAAAATCCAAATGTTTGTTGTCTAATTCATCACATAGCTGTTGCATCATGTCACAAAGGAGCGTCACTTACGGTCTTTATTAAAGCCAGCCGTAGAGCATTAGCACAAACATATTTCTCTTTCAAAGACAAATGCAGCAACTGACTCTGTTACAGTCCTTTGAGTGGTGCCGGTTTCGCGGCTGTTGTTGTTTAATGTCAAGACTGAGACTCACCTCTAAGACGTTTAGCCGGATGAAAGGGACTCCTCTTGTCTCCCCGTCCTCTCAAAGGTGCCGGCTGTGAAGACTTGTTTGAATTTCAAATAAGTCATTGTCCCAAAAGTAGCCAATTTTGTCCTTTCCATCACTTACCACTGAGGGACTTAAGCTGTGCTTTGACAGTGAGAGAGAGATGAGCACTGGGCAAGAGGGATTCTCTCTTTTATAAGATTCAAAAGAGGCTAATATCTCTGTACAAATTGCTCTTTTGGTTTCATGTAATTCAATACTTGATAATAGCTTTATTTCCTGGACGGAGAAATTTTTGCAATGAAGCATAATTACAATTTATTCCCATACTAGAAAGAGCCTATGTATAATTACTTTCCAGGCTAAAATTGCAGTCCTATTTAGTGGACTCGTCAGCGCTGTGTGTGTGAGCGCTGGCTAAAGGTATGACATTTAAATCAACTTAACATTTGTTGCGGTTAACCCATTTTCATACAATTTCTCTTTAACACCCACACATCAGTATTTTCATTTTCAACCTACTAATGCTGATCTATGGTACATTTTTGGAGAAAATGATGGGCTCATTGTTTATTTACTGTCTAGGAATGGATTTTTTTTTTATAGCAGTTCACATTAAAACAAAACTCAGCAAAACCAGTCTGCTCAGCTGTGATGCGTTCTCTGCTACATGTGCTGCAGACGGTGCTGAGAGGATTGTAAACAGTTGGAGCTGTTTTGCTGTGCAAAATATGTGATGGCACCATTTCTAAATTACCTTGAGCATTTTTTTGCCACATTATGCTATGTAAAAAAAAAAAAAAAAAAGTTTCCTTATCGGACAGCATATATGCCAACACTTATATATGTGTGATAGGCTGATAGAATCTCTGTAACCTACAGTTCTCCCTTGATCCCTTTCTCTTCTTCATAATTAACTGTCCACCCCTGCTTTCCAGAGTATGGCAGGATGGTGGTTTACCTGTCCTTGTAGGAGTCATAAAGTTTTTACCCACAGCACACATTTAGTAGAAGTAAATACATTACAGCTTCGTCCAAAATGTAACTAGCACTAGCAGGCTATTGTCTTGACAGCTGTAACAAAAACGCTGCACGTATTTCTCCAACAGGGTATCAGTAATAAGAAGCGCTGCATTCGGATGCAGGTTATCCTGCCTTGAGAGAATCTGATTGCAGCAGTGACATGACTTGCTCCGTGGTGGGGCATTTTTTTCTTCAAGGTCACAAAATAGAACACTTTTGTTCAAATTGATTGCATTTTTATTCAGTCTTGAACCACCTGCTGACACCAGGAAATCATTTCGTGACTGGTCAAGCATGCACAATTACTAGCACCTCTTCCCCTTGTTTACATTCTCTAATAATGTTTTCTTGGTCGTTGCTGGGTTTTTTTTGTTTTTTTTACTGTCAATGTCATCTGGGGTCTCCTTTTTTAAAGTTTTGTAAAGTTTATGGATTTGAAAATATTGTTATAACAAAATCTGATTTTTGTTACTTACTTGAGTATGAAGAAACAGAATAAACCTTTTTTTTTCCTCTCCGTGTCACTACTACAGATTTGGTTCATTTACCTCAGTATTGTTCCACACATGCTGTTATGTCATTAAGTATTTCTTTTTATATAACCAGTAGAACAACTTGACAT